TGTTGTTTACCTCTATGTAAGTACTTAAATAATATGAGTTAAATAAACATAAAATGCAATTAATAATAAAAATAATAAATGCTTCTATTCATATTTATTTATGAGTGTTGGCAGTTAGCACCTATGATACCTATACCTACCTGTGTAATAATAAACAACCTATGTAAGGCTTTCCTTTTAAGTACCTGTTTCTATATTTTATTATTGATAATTAGGTATGTAAATAAACAGATATTATATGGGATGTAAGTATAAACTTTCTTACATAATTTCTTAAATAATAATAATAATATAATTTAATATAAATACTAGTAATAAGTATTATTAAGAAAGGAGGGTACGTAGTACTATACTTACGTTGATAAATACCTACGGTCGCGAATATTGCATTTATGAAGACTATCTCTTCAAAATGGAATAGAATTGAATTAAAAAAACGCTTGTATTTGAAATCATTTTTTGAACCTTATTAGCTAAAGCTTTTGAATTTAGATGAGACAGTATCTTAAGGCTAAAGATGACATGATAGCAAATTGTCTAGTACCTAGTTTGCAGAATTTTTATTTTTTTACCCGGCTGCGCAATGCAAGAGCGCGAAGCGCGACGCGCAGACAGGGTTATGTGTTTAACAGTCTATATATGTATGTTTGTTCCTTTGTGGCACACTAGGGACCAAACGCCTGGGCCGATTTTGATGATTCATACATCAATCGATTCGTCTCAATCATGGGAGTGCTACTAAAGATATGATAGTAATCAAAATTCAATATTGGCAAAATTAGGCGCCATATTGTGACGAAGTAAAAAAAATAAGTTGACAAAATATGTCGAGTGGGGTATCACTGTCTAGATAATCGAAAATCGTATTTAGGTTCCTAACACCATTTTTCATTTTATATGATTGTTTAGGATCTACAACGCTTTAAAGTTGTATATTAACCACTTACGCTTTTAATTTCAATCTTACGTTTGTATGGATCTTTGTTACTCTTTCACCTAAAAAATACTGAATGGATTTTAATGAAACTTAACAGTAATATAGCTCATATATGATAATTACATATATATAATAATTTATGTAGTTATTGAGTGAATTGGCCAATATATAGCAATAAGTGTCACATAAGACGGAAAAAATGTCCCATCTGCGAGCCATTTTGGCCTGCACTGCCAAAACAATAAAAGTTACATGAATGTTATATAGAGTGGAAATGTATCTCTTAAATAGTTCTAAAAAAAAGTCCGTGACACCATATATCTATTTTTAATGTGTAAGTCATTACCGCTAAAATAGTGAATGAAAACTAAAAGATTATTTGATATCTATTTCCAAAATGCACATTTTGTATTAACAAATCATTTTTTATCAAAACAAATACTTTAATCGCTTTTGATATTTAAAGACGACAAACTTTGCTTTTTACACTATGTCATTTCGACAAATATTTAATAAAAAGTTACAACGATGACAAAGTGATAACGCGTTGTACTATGTATAAGAAAAAAAAATGGGGTAGTCGCAGTATCTGATCCTATACGAAGTACTAACATTAAAACTGTGATACAGTTCCTTCTTATGATGAAAAATATATTATCATAATAGGTATTTATGATTATTGAATTTTAATGAAAAACTGAATTTTACTGTTTTTAATTTTTTTTAACGATATTACTTAAGGTTACAAAAAAGGTTTACTTAATATAATGACAAATAACCCATTTTTCGCTAGTAAGTACATACTTATTGGTATCGCTTTATTTATTAATCAGCTCTCGATAATATTGGTTTTGTAATAATTCTGCAAAATTCAAAGTAAATAATGTAGATTTTTATAGGTAAATCACCCCTTTCATCACCCTACGCCTATAAGTATTGCGATGTTGTAGCTAAGAACCAAGTTCCCATCTACTTCTATATGGGAATTCATTATATTCGATTTAGCTATTAGGGCACGGAAGCGCCACAAACAAACTCACTTTCGCATCTATAATATTATATTATACTTAGGGCAGATGACCCGGTTTTGGCCATTTTAAGAATTTTGTAGACTTTGAGGCTATATCATTTTACTGTTTTTGTTATCACGGACATATTTTTTGTAAAAAGTGATTAAATATATATAAATCTAGACTAAGGATACATTTTTTTCATAATGATTCAATGGAAAAATAATCCTGTAGAAAAGAAAAAAAAATGGGAATTTGTGCCATTTTTGGCCAGATTTACCCCCTTTTCTGCCACAGTCTAGTGCCAGTTCTGGCCATCAAAATTCAACTATCTTATATCATTTATAAAAGGTGTAGCAATTTGGCCCTTCACAACAATTTTCTTAACAGAATCCAGTAAACCTTCCTTGTTGATGGGAAATCCAGCGCGAGCGCAATCTTTGATCCATATGACTAGTTCGTTTTCTATTTGTCTTCCAAGAACTGACTGGGGCCCTACATGTCCTGAAGTTTCAGGCGCTTTTCCAGAAATTTTGTGACGCAAAGTCGTTCGAGGTACGTTAAAATCTCTACAAGCAGTGGCAACGGGCATTCCATTCTTTATTGCGTTCAACGCTAATGTTATTTTATGCGGTGAGTACTGGAACAATTTTCTTTTCACGACACCGATTTTTTTAGTGTTTGGTTTCGATGGAGGCATTATAATCGTAACTCTGAAAATGAATAGATTACTGATATCAAAATAGCTAAGTAATTAAGTTGAAAAATCAAGATAAAAACTAAATGGCCAAAAGTGGGGTTCTACGTGCACCACTTTTGGCCAGTCATGTGGCCAAAGATGGGAAAATTCATTCATTTTGGTTCCATTAGTGGCCACTTCTCATAACCTCACTTAATAAACAAATAGCGATAAAATATCATTAGTACCACTGAGACAGTGTATTCTTTATTAAGGATTAACATAAACGTTAAAAATAATAATAAGGATTTAAAAAATAATGATTGATTACTCACCCGCTCGCCTTAGCCTTTTTGCTAAGAAATAAAACAATTTACGCTCGTCAAAAAATAATGACTTATTGGATTGAAGTGAAGTTTGACACATCAAAGCTGTCAACGCTATCAGTGTTGCCAATATTAGATATTTTTATTCCCGTGAACCATAGAGTAATATATTTGTCTTTGCCTTAGTTATAACGATTTGAAGTTCTAAATGGCCACAAAGGGGTCGGTGGCCACAACCGGGTCACTTGCCCTACTAGTGATCCACCCAAAATGTGTGAAATTAAATCAAGTCGTTACATAAATATCTCTAATGTATGTAAATTTTATAGTAAACTAGCACTTACTCAAAAAGTCATCTTTTGTTTATGTTTTTTTAATAGTTTAGCAGTAAATATAAAATTCATTTTCTTTTATTCGTCGACTATTTAAAAATGGCAGTGGCTGCATTGTCATGTCAATGCCGGACGTCTAAGATTGTGATATACACAAATTCAGGGTCAGTCCCTAGTCTCATAATTTGATATACCTACATAATTCACAGAAACCCAATATGTAGATGCCAGAAGTTAACTTCAAATGTTTTTAATCACCCTGTATACAATACCAATCAATGACGTTTATGTCGCAGGTTGAAGAAAGAAGTAATTCCCGTCTGTTGTTTTGGACAATGGTGGCAACTGCCTTAGATCACTAAATTAAATAATTATGCAATCACCAAGTAAGTGCTAGTTTACTAGCTAGCTTTGTTCCTTATTAACAGAATTATAGACTACTGGACTTGTTTTTTTCTTTTCAGTTTTTATTTGAAGAATAATTAAGCAGTCGGGTTTTTTGACTTTTTAAATTTACCTTTTTTTTATTTTTACATTAGAATATCCGTTTACTTAGTCTGATTACTTAATTGCTAATAAAGTGAAAAAATAATAGTGAAGGACTTTCGTTTGTGCATGCTGGGGCCGATTTGTCGATGTCCTTTAACATGTGACAAATTCCTGAAAACCCTTTTATATGGATACTAGCTGTCCCAGCGAACTTCGTAATGCCATAAAAAAAGGGGTTGGTGGTAGAAAGGCGAAAATTTTGGGTTATATTTATTTTTGTATGATGTATCATAAAAAAATTTTAAAAAAAACCTAAAATTGAAAAAAAATTAGGGGTGGATTACCCATAACATTTAGGGGGATGAAAAATAGACGTTGTCCGATTCTCAGACCTACTGAATATGCATATAAAATTTCACGAAAATCGGTCGAGCCGTTTCGGAGGAGTTTAACCACGAACACCGCAACACGAGAATTTTATATATTGGAAGTTTTAGTGATTGTTTTTTTTTGTCATTTGTTAGGTATGCCTTATCCATACTTAATTTAATTTTATGTTAATAAATTATATGATTTTTATACTATTTTTTAAATTAAATGTTATATTGATATTCTAGCGACCGCCCGCGACTTCGTACGTGTGGAGTTAGTTAGAAATAAAGGTTCACTGCTCGTTCCCCGTAGGTGATAGCCTGATAATATGTAGTCTATATGTTGACCCTATTTCTTAATAATATTCGTGCCAAATTTGAAGATAATCCATGTAGTACTTTTTGAGTTAATTACGGACATACATACAGACAAGCATACAAAAATTCTAAAAACTTTATTTATGGTTTCGGTATCGATTTTAGATCACACCCCAAGTATTCTTTAAAAAAATATTCAATGTACAGTTTTGACTTTCCTACCATTTTATTATATGTATGTATAGAAGGAACGCCGTTAGTACCTAATGTCAACATAATAAGTTTCTGTAATTGGTCTTAAGATTGTATTTATATTTTATTGTATTACATACACAAAAATCGCTGAAGAAACTTTGTTAAAGATAAATAAACAAGTAGACATCGATTTGGCTCAACGCTCACTATCGTAACAGCGTCATTAGTATTCGGAGCTGAAGCGATAACTTGTAGCGTGGGCGACTAGTACATAATAAAGGCAATGCCACTGAATTCCTACCTACGTAAATACATTCAGTTATAGCTAGTGATCACTCAGTTATTTACGACTAGGTACTTTCAATACCTACTTCTATTTACCTCAGCTTTCTAACATCAAAAATGATGCTCACTCAGTTAATTTAAGTAGTGTTATATTCGATAACTGAAATTCTGCTCGAGCTTTTATCGCTATACAATAATTGGTGTCCGAGTGAAGTGTACCAATCAAGTGCATACTCCAAGTATTAATATTGCGTTATCAAACGTTGATCGGTGTCCAACATCGCAACGGGCCGGTGTGTATCGTTATGTAGGCGTTGGAAGTGGCGACACGTGAATGGACGGGAGCAGGATCGATACAGCGGAGTGCGCACGCCCGTCTCCACACAGCTGGCACCGCGGCCGCCACCGAACCGCCTCAACTCGCGTCTCATTGCCTAATTCGAGGTTTCTAAGTGCTCTGTTCCATCACGAACATGGTCTCCAGCAACAGACGGCTCTAAACGGTGAGTTAATAGACAGTAGACACGGCTTGTATTCCGTGACATCCTCCAGCTTTCAGCTTCCCATCCATGTAACGAGCGCGTTCGCCATGTCTGAAACTGAAACCATGTTCTTAGTACCTGTTACACGGTAACCCGATTTATTAGTTGGGTAATGTTTGTGCATATTTGTTTATCAACCACAATAGAAGGCGATTCATTGTACGTATATGATGATAAAGAATAGGTGTTTAATCTAAGGGTGCATTAATTTGTTTTGTTAGAATTGTTGTTATCGCTATACTTGTGAATAATCCGCAATGCCAGTGACGTCTCGTCGGTTTAAAGAGGAACAATAGTTAGGCCTTGAATAAAGAGCCGCGTCCTTTTTAGGATTTTATAACTTCATTAGGGGTCGTATAATTGTTTATTCAGTGTTTTTTTTTGACCAAATAGGGTGCGGGCCGAGAGACCGATTGCGTGGGCCGATGTAAAGGGCACGAGAACCTACGTCAGAGGGACCGACATAACAAAGTATAGAAACGTCGATATTAGTTTGTGCATGGAGATTCTTTGTATTATATCAATATATTTTATTTGTAACTAGTTACCTATGATTATGAAAAAGCTTTTATGAAATAACAACACAACATTTTCTTCATAATTTATATACTTATTTATCATCTTTCTTCGTTAATATTGATTTGGATGATAGCTGTTGTTATATCATTACATTTGCATTACATAAACAACACCAAACATTGTATAATATGTGTGGAAAACTTCTTTCTTTGTGCAAGGAAAGATAAATAAGCAGACGATGATACATACTGGTATTTAGAAACATTTGAGAGTAGGTACTATGTATTAAATGTTATTGAAGACTATTGTTACTAATAGGTTTAGATGGAAAATAAACGAGGATTAATACTGGTGCGATGGAAATTTTACATTTTACACATTTTGAAGGAACTTTAAATTAATTAAGATTTGTTTACCTATTCAGGCTATGGCAAGGTTGTCTTTCGGCACCATATTCCTTTCGGATGCCGCTTTCACTGATTTTATTTGTCGCTGAAATTGTTTCACTTTTTGCTATTTGGCGCTCTTTGCCACATGGCGCCTAGAGCGACCGCTCCTCTCTACTTCAGGGCCAGGCAGCTTATACAAATTTTACTGAACAAATTATCCATATTGCCCATAGTTTTTCTTCACTTAGCATCCTCAACTCATGCAGAGTTCGGTTTGTTAGTCCAGTTCAGCTAACCAATAAGTATAGCTTTGGGAAACATAGTCTCATGTTCCCAGCTTATCGTCTACAACAGTTTCCTAAAGTCCATTGATAGACTTTTTCTGTTAGGGAGAAAAAGTTAGATTCGTGTATTTTTCCTTTGTTTGTTTACGCATTAAGCGCAGCCTAACCACCTATGGTTAAGTCTGAGTCCAGTTGTGAAGATAGCTCATACAAAAGACAAGTAAGTAGTAAAGGCAGTAAAATGTCCGGCTCAGACTATTTTCGACTTGCCGGTCTGTACTTGTTCCTTGCTCCATGGAAACCTGGTACCTTAATAACCGACACAAACAGAACACTTCCAAAAGCCACTGTCATTTTTTTGAGTGTGTATGCCGTTGGTCGCATATGACCTTTACAGCGTCACCGGGTTTGGGGATGGCGAGATCCTAAGGGGACCTCAAGCCGAGAGCCTCTAGAGGTATTCCAATCGGATGGCATCTCTCCATGGGAGGAGTCTCCTCTCCGTCTGGAGCCTCTAGACCACCCGAACCTGAGGGGATCGGCTCAACTAGAGGTCGTCTCTGAGACGGGCCTCAGCTCTAGTTAGCCGTTGTCTTGGGGGACGGAGAAAAACGCGCAGGTACGTACCTGTACCTGGTATAGCGTGTCGTGTGTAGACCGGGTCTTCGCACTCTTATCCTACGGGTGCGGTGTCTGCCTAATGCTAAGCTAGTGTGCAAGTATGCTAGCTGGGTAGTCTTGGTGTTTGAGGCCTGTGTGGGAGGAGTCGGAGGCGCGTTGGCGCGGGTGATTTCGTCGTCGGGGTACTCTAAGACGTGCCTAGGCCGACGGAATCGGTCACCGTCATTTGATCCTGTAGAGTTATATCCTTGGATATATCAAATACCCAGTACTCAGTAAAGCTTTGTGAGTCATTATCGATGGACGTCCGCTGCTGGACAGGTCTCTACCAGGGACCTCTACTTATTCTGCATCTGTGCGTTTTTTTAGAGATCCGGACACAAAAGGTAGAACGCGATCCTATTACTAAGACTCCACTGTCCGTCAGTCTGTTTGTTTGTCTGTCACCAGGCTGTATCTCATAAACCGTGATAGCTAGACAGTTTAAATTTTCGCAGATGATGTATTTCTGTTGCCGCTATAATTAAAAATCTAAATTAAAACAGAATAAAACAAATATTAAAGTGGGGCTCCCATAACAAACGTGATTTTTTTGCCGTTATTTGCTCGATATTAATAACGGCTACAGCTTAAGTTTCTACGCTTTAAATATTTTACGAAACCAGTTTCGAGAGAAGAAATTAAATTCTTGTCTCGGAGCTGATTTCAAAAACAGCTGAAGGGGAACGTTTAGTTAAATATTCACTTTAAAAATAAATAATAACATTATAATGAATATATAAGAAAGGCCTATACAACAGACGTGAATCGTTTGCTGTTTTTGCTCGATAATAATAATACCTAATGTGTAATATAATAGTGTCTAATGTTGTATATGGTACGGAACCCCTTGTGAGTCCGACTCGCAATTGACCGGTTTTTTATAACATTGTAATAAGATAACTACAATGTAAAAAATTACTCGTGTTACGTGACTATCAATATTGCTAGTGGCAACACTAACGTCATGGTGAATGAACGACAGCGTCACATCCAGTCGGTTACGTTTGACAGTACACGACACACTTCGGAACGAGCCGTCTTCGAGTAAGGTTAGTGATATTTGATTTTTATGATATTTTGATAATTATGATATCCGTGAGAGTTTTCTGTAAATTAAACATTTGGTTTGTATCTTGTTGTTTTAAACTTGTATCCCGCACACGTGAAATGCCTTTAACATCTCAGAAGTGGGATCGTTGCGAAATATAGTTTTTTCGTACCATGCCATTTTGACTGTTACCGAATTAATAAATGCTGAAGAATATCGAAAATAATGTTGAAAAATGAAATCCTGTAATAATTAGACGTGTTAAGTTCATTTTACTTTGGAAAATAACATGTTGATAAGCGGATGCATATTGATTACCCACTAAAATTCCGATAGTTAAAATATAAAACGGCGACTAATTGGAAAATATACATGGAAATATAAAGTATTATGAACATCATACTAAATAAATGCCGTTAGCCTTAAAAATAATTCACTACTAAGCAGATGAACATAGATTAGATACAACCGTTGGTAGTTAATATCTTAAAGTTATTCAAATAACGACATATTATATATAAAAAAAAATACATGTGTTAAGCGACATAGTTTTAACATTTTTATAAACAAAGTCTGTTTAAACGAAGAAATAACCTGACAGTGAGCAGATGAATACGGATTTCAAAATATATACATTTACCTTAGCAAGAATAGTGCAATCAATTGTGAACTGAGAATATATGATCAGTTTTGGAAGTTTCTTAAATAACACAGATTAATTATTGTTGCAACATTCGGTTTATTTTGTTCGTCGACACCCTTAATTGATCTAAACTTTTTGAAAGAAAACTTTTATCTTTTTTTGTTGATCACCCTTCATATATCTAAGGAAGGTAACTACCTACCAAGAGCTCATATAAATCCTTTCCGAGTTTCAGAAAATGAGCGACGCAGATACCGAGGGAAAGCGGCGTGGAGGCTCGCGTCGTAGCCGCGCTCACAGCCGTGGCGACGATCGGAGTACGCGCACGCGACGCAGTCATAGCCGTAGCTTTCGTGAACCTCGTGTTTCATGGACGCGGCCGAGCCATAGTCGCAGTCGCAGTCGTGGTGATCGAGCTTCACGGAAGAAACCTACTCGCGGCCACAGTCGCGATGATCGAGCTTCGCGGATGGGAGCTAGTCGCGATTGCAGTCGTCATCGAAGCCGCAGCGCAAGCACTGAATCACTGCGAGAGCGTGAGCGGGAGCTCAGGCGGAAACGAGAACAGCTTGATATACTTGAGGACGAGGTACGTAGGAAACGTTCACGAATACATGACGACGAGCGTGACGTGCGTTCTTTACAGTCGAAACGTGACTGCTCTCGGGCATATAACAAAAACACGCCACAACGCCGCCGTCGTACTCGTGATCGTTGCCTAACAACACCAACATTGGAACATAACCCTGATAACAACGAAATCAGGAACGATAATTGTAAACCCGCATCCGATTTTTTCGAGGAATTTTTAAAAGTGTTGAAGTCCAAGACAGGGCATAGTGAATCGTTCTCTGCCTCAAGTTTAAGTAATGTCATCCCTGAATTTGACCCAATGCTCAAGGAACAAACTATAAACATTTGGCTTGACAAAGTAGACGAATGCTCGGAAATTTATAGTTGGAATGACAAACAAACAGTTCATTATGCCCTGCCCAAGCTTACTGGTCTTGCAAAGACCTGGTACCAGGGCCTACCCTCGATTAAGCATACATGGACTGAGTGGAAAGAGATGCTAAGAGAATCATTTCCGGCTACTGAAAATTACGCTGAGCTCTTAACAGATATGCTTAATAGACGGGTACGCCCTGGAGAAACGTTTGAAATGTACTACTTTGCAAAGATGAATCTTTTAAATAGATGTAAGATATTTGGAAAGCAAGCGGTGGACTGTTTACTTTACGCGATTGAAGATAGAGGTGTGCGTGTTGGTGCCCAGGCAGCTAAATTTGACAAGCCTGAGGACGTACTCGAATTCTTCAAGACAATTAAATCCACTAACCGTAATCAATTAGACAACGCCAACAATATAAATCGCGATAGGCGTATAGGTAATACAAGTAATAATACGCAAAGGC